TCCCCCAGCACCACATGCCAGCCAGCCCCGCCCCCTGGTGGGCTGAGCTGGCCACATAAATAAATAAATAAATAAATAAATAAATAAATAAATGGCATGAAAACGTATACCCTTGTCAATGTGAAGAGTTATTACGCTTTCAGCTTATACATTTATCCTGGAACTCAGCCATCAGGTCCTTATTCGTATAGTAACAGACCAAATGATGTTGTAAACAGACTTGTTGCTCCCATCTCCCAAAGTAAACAGAATGTGCTATTCAACAATTGATGTACTGATTTCCCACTAACATTACATTTGCTTAACAGAGCAAAAGTTGGGGCTGGGGGATAGCTCAGTGGAATAAGCGCTTCCCTGGCAAGCGCAAGGGCCTGAGTTCAATCCCCGGTTCCGAAAACAAAACAAAACAAAACAAAACAACAACAACAAAAAAAAACAGAGCAAAAGTTGACCAGTGCAAGACCTGTATGCAGAACAAAGCAGAAATTCCAAATGAAAATGCTGCAATTTTAAAACAACTGTATGGTTCAATTTCTTGAATTTCAGAAAAGATTTAATAGGCCTCCTACATGGAAAAACAAAAACAAAAAACTGGTACACTGATGTAAACATTTCAATATTATGGAAATACTAATATAAAAACCTCAACAAAACAGAAGCCTGATAGAAATATTCAACAAGCAGGCAGACCAGATAGCTCAGTGGACTAAGCATCTGTTTAGTTAAGTGTAGGGACCAGGGTTCAATCTCCAGCACCACATGCTTTGCTGACCCTGCTCCTGGGTGCACTGAACCAGCTACCGAGACTGGGCACGGTGGCACAAACCTGTAATCCCAGTGCTGGGGAAAGTGAAAATAGGATCACTAGGAGTCTGCGCTGCGCAGACCCTGAACCAAACACCTTAAAAAAGAGAGAAAAGAAACCTTCAACAATAAAACATGGAGTAGATGTTGATGAGGTATGTAGCAACTATGGTGTTACTTGAAGCACAAAGCATTGGCCAATGGTTGTATCTTGCTCAATCCTACACACATGTGGCATAGTTTGATAATTTACACAGAAAATAACAAATGCAAAATATCACAGAGAAATTTTTGTAGAGGATTGAGATTAGAGCCCATTAGAGATCATTTACAGCAATAGAAAAAATGTTTCTTCCTGGTGGGTGTGCAAAGAAAAGTACGAAAGCCAGGCATGGTCATGCATGCCTGTATCCCATCACTTTGGAGGCTGAGGCAGGAGGATCACTGTGGGTGAGACCATGAGGCTACAAAGAGAGTTTAAGTCCAGCCTGAATTGCACAGCTCTGTCTCAAAAAAGATTAACAAAACTACAGAGAATTAGATCACACTGGTGAGTGGACAGGTGAATAGGCAGGCACAGCATCACAAAGACAACAGGTAAAGTACAGGAAAATGAAGCATATGTGCTATCAGTGTAAGCAATATTTGTGTATGGAACATACAGTTGTGTGAAGACTGCCTTGTCTGTGACAGTTGAAGCAAACCTTATTGTTGTGGTAGGCTTGTGTTTACACTGTAGTTTACATAGGTTTTTTATTTTATCTTTTAGGTTTTGTAAGCAAGTAAACAGCTGATGGGAAAATGCTGAGGTCTATTCTAAGCACTCATCACATATTTGATGTATTTTATCAACATCTTATTTTTCTACTAAGTACATGTTGTAACTCAGCAGGCTCCAAGGCAGACTGGCACATGGCAGAGGGCAACAGTTCATGGCACAGGCAGAGAGCAAAGGGAGGAGTAGTGATGACACTGGCAACAGAGAGCAAGTCTGTCTCCCTTAAATTGACATTGTTATTGTGTAGGTTTACTCTGAGCTGAATTGGAATCAAGGATACAGGCATTGGGAAGGAAGAGGGATGAGTGAATTCATTCACATAGGATAAACTGGTTTAAATTGCACCCCCCCTCTTTTTGTGGAGCCGGGGATTGAACTTGGGCCCTTGTGTTTGCCAGACAAGTGCTTATTCTACTGAGCCATCTCCCCAGCTCTTTAGATTGCTTTTGAATTTACTGTTTACCACCTTACTGGAACTGCTTATTAAACTGAACAAGCAATGACAAAAACCCTCAGTAACCTTTGTTTGGTCAAGTGCATTGTTTTCTCATCCAGACCTGTTGACAGCACTTGATATCTTGCTTGATTTCTAGGATATTCTGTTTACTCACAGCCTTCTGTTTCCGAGCTTGAAAGCCTAGTTTCCAGAGTTGTATTGTTGGACCTCTTCCTTATATCTGTACGCGTTCATTCCCTGGGTCAGTCTCATGCGTTATAAAACTATCTCTGTACCAATTTTCAAACTTACCTACAGTTTTGATTTTGCCCTAGTTACTAATGTTGCTGAGCCACAGTGCCTGACACCCACAACTTAAGGCACAGTATGCCGGGATTGAGCCCTGGCCCCTACATCTGCCGAAGCAGGCACTTTAATTCGCTGAGCTATCTGGCTGGCCCTTATTGACTGAAACCTCCAGTAACTGAGCTACATAAACCTACCTTTCCTTCCTTTAAAAAAAAAAAAGACAATGTCTCTCATTGGTATCAAGCCACTTATGTTTTTCCTGAACAAATGTGTAATATTTTTAATCAAGAAGACACATTATATAAAATATCTGGGTTGTTGAATTAAGATATTATTAGTTACAAAAACAGCACCAAATACCAGATTTCATTCAAATGTTATCTGTCTTCACTAGTGATGTAAACTCCTAGCTCTTCAAACATTATCTGGAAGAAGACTTAAAATTCACATTAAAGGGGGCTGGGGAGATGGCTCAGTGGAATAAGCGTTGCCCTGGCAAGCATAAGGGCCTGAGTTCAATCCCTCAGGAACCAAAAAAAAAAAAAAAAAAAAAAAAAAGAAAAGTCACATTAAAATTAAGGTCATTGTGGCTGTAAATGATTACTTCTCCAGCATTTAGACATACAATGTTTTCTTGCTTTTAGACCATACACACAAGAAGCAGCAGTCATTCCTTTAAACTATTTAGTTTCGAAGACTTTTGAAAGACTGTGTCCTGATACTGCATTCTGGACCTGAACAAATAAGCCAATCCACATGTACATAGGCCGAGATTTCCACTTCTGATTGTCCTGTGACTACAAAGTTTTGTTTTCTAAGTCACATGCAACTCTAACCAGAAACACTGTAGATGCAAAACAAGAAAAGCAATACGCTGAAAAATTCACAAGACTCCAGATCTCAAGAGGCTAGAAACCTACATTATGCCACTGGTCCTTAGGAAAAAGCCATTCACCGAAGTCAAAAGACTAAGGTCAGGAAGAATCACTTAGCTATGCTATCTAGCAGTCCACTTGCTTCAGTGATCCAAGTGGGCATAGCAAACCTAAGAAGCCCCATGTTCTTAAACTGGCAAACATTCTGTGAAGTTGCACAGGGCAGGTTAGCCAGCGAAAATGAGATAAAGAACATTCTCATTGCCAAATCAAGCATTCAGGCAGTGATTTTACTATTACTTTCCACAGCTTTTAGATTCAGCCTTACTCACCTGCCTTTAGAGATACTTAGATTATTTTCATACTCCTTATTAGAGACTACACCATATTTTTTCATTCAATGGGTATGTGATGAACACTGGCTGTGCGATGTACCAAGGGGTTTATAATCTTAACAGATATGACCTCCATAAGTTAGTGGGGCATGGGACTGCAAGTACCACGTCATTGGCACCAATTATCAAAAAAGAATCAGCTTTTATCAGGAAAGAGAAATCATTCATTCGTTCGTTCATTCATTCATTTTATTTATTTTTTGGCAGAACCAGGGATTGAAATCAGACCCCCTGCACTTGCCAGGCAGCGCTTAATTCTACTGAGCCATCTCCCTGGCCCCCGAGAAATCATTCATTTAGAACACAGAAGATATATCCCAATATATCCCAATTCAGCTCTTGCCTCTACCACACCTAAGTGTCTGTACTCTAATTCACCAAATACAAAATCCTTCCCACGTGGCCAGAATACAGTATATGAGTCTGGCAATTACTCTATTTATGCAGAAATGCTCCCCCTCCTTGGCTTTCACGAGCCTCACTCCACTCACTCAGCTCAGCCGGCATAACCTCAGCTTTCACCAAGCCATGCTCCCATAATTTATCCTAGAAAGCAAGTCTATCTCCAGCAGTCGACAACTCAGGCACCAAGGGTCACACATTCAACTGTCTAGTAGACTGCAAACACAGTTTAAGCACAGTCATTTTTTTTTTCTCTATTCCTTTCAAATTCACTTAACTCTCAACTGAAATACCACAATCCCATCCCATCTCAATAAACCTTAGCTAAAACCCTCAATTTTAGTTTTCTCTAGTTAACCTCTTGTCTACTTTACCTCGGAATGATCACCCAAAACATTTTAATTTCACTACATTTAAAGTGTGTTAACAACTCACTAGCACTACATACTACACAGCCTAAGAATAACCCCAGCCAAGATGTCCCCACAGCAGCAGTACTTGGCATACAACCTTCTTACTGTACTAACTACACCAAGCAACAGTTAGCTTTGTTTACCATCTGGTTCCCCTCCTGGCTATAAATTTTTCAAGGACAAAGATCATGTCTCACCTTATCACCAGCACATACTTAGTGCTTGCACATAACCCTTCCCTTCATTTAAGTATTTCTATGCTTCAGCTCTTCTCAATGTAAAAATCGGTGACAACCGAGGACTAATGGAATGGTACATCTGCATATCATTAATGCCCACCAATCCAGTAAGAGATCATGTTAACTAGTAAGTTTTCAAAGTTTGAAGGCCTGTATGCTTGCCTCAGTTTGTTGGTTTGCATGTATTCTACAGCAATTTCAGACAAAAGCGAAAGCTAAAAAAAAAAAAAAAAAAAAAGAGAGAGAGAGAGAGAAAGCTTTATTTTATTATTATTATTTTTTTTTTTTTGATGGAACCAGGGATTGAACTCAGGCCCTTGTGCTTGCCAGGCAAGCACTTACTCTACTGTACCATAGCCCCGGACCCTAAAAAAAGCTTTATTTTGAGAGAAAAACAAGCTTATTCCCTTTACTGAAAGCAGGGTGCTCTATTTAGCTGCCATATAGCAAGACAGCTTTTTCCAAAGACTTTATTTTTTGTCGCTAGAACTTTTAAATCCAAATTTGAATCAACAATGAACCACTACTTGAAAATCACTTTAGTCTTTTTCTTTTCCTCAGAACCGGAGACTGAACCCAGGCCCTTGTGCTTGCCAGGGAAGTGCTTATTCTACTGAGCCATCTCCCCAGCCCCTCACTTCAGTCTTGTTAGTTTTATCCATTTTATAACATAATATAATCACAGAAGAATGATCTGAGTCAGAACAATGCAGTTTATATACCTAAAAGGAAAAATTCATACAATTATCTCAAAACAATTTTTTTCCCTGTCCTCCCACCCAGGTTTTCTAGTGAACTTACCTTCCAACATGGTCTTGATTGTCACAGACTGTTTAGCGATTTCAACATCAACTTCAAATATCTCTCCATCAGAACTCTGCAACTTAATTGAAGGCATCTGAAAAAGGTATACTGAATGTGAGATCTAAGAGACTACTTCAACATGACATTTCTACTGTAGTCTGTCAGAAAAGTCTCTTACCTGGGCTGGGAAAAGAGCCCAGCAGTGCCTGCCTGGCAAACACAAGGTCTTGAGTTCAACCCATAGTCCCCACTCTCCCAAAAGAGGAATAAAGAAAAACTTATTAAACATAAAATCCTGAAGATTATAGTATATAATGAAAACAGTGTGCTTTTTTATGAGCTAGCCTATATAAAAACACAGTATAGGCTGGGGAGATGGCTCAGTAGAATAAGTGCTTGCCTGCCAAGCACAAAGGCCTGAGTTCAATCCCTGGTTCTGCCAAAAAAACAAAAAACAAACAAACAAAAAAAAAACCCCACAGTATGCTTTCTTTACAGGCTACCCCACAAGTTATTTCCTAACACTTTTTTTTTTTAAAAAAATGTATTTAGTACAGGGTCTACAGGGTCTCACTACATAGGTTGGACTCGTAGTGATCCTCCTGTTTTCAGCCTCCCAAATGCTGGGATTACAGGTGCCCTTGCCACCAGGCCCAATCTCAATCGCTATCTCAGCATGGGGGGGGGGGCAGACGACGGACCCCCAGCACAGTTTGTAGTTCAGGGGACTGAACCTGGTCCCTGCACTCTGCCTATGCAGGTGCTTTAGTCCGCTGAGCTATCTGGCCAGCCCTTCTAACATTTTTAAAAATTTCTAAGAACAGAAGTCTTTGTTTGCCCTATGGAGTTCATCGCAAGTATAAATTTAAGTTACACACTATTACTTCTGATGCAAAATACGTTTAAAATTAAATATGAGATGTGGTCAAAACATGCAATGAATGTTTAAAAATAATTTATTACAGTAAAAGACACACTACCATTAATCCATCTCCATTTGAACACACTAAACCATTGTTGCCTTTTTTTTGGGGGGGGGGCTGGCTCAGAATGCCTTCAGGGCATGTTTGGCTGGCTGGAGTTGTGGGGATCGAACCTCAGCAACCTGAGGCTGACTACTTTGTTGAAACAGCCACTTAAACAACTGAGCTAAGGGGCAGGCCCCAACGCAAGCCATTGTTGCCTTTTGCTGAAGCAGTTTTAGAAATTCTTTGACATCTTTTACATAAAATAAAAAATATGAGACTGTTGGCTGCCAAGTGCCATCCAACAGAAAGGCAGGTTTGCAGTTTAGCCGGGCATGGTGGCACAGGTCTATAATCTCAGCACTGTGGAAACTAAGGCAGGAGAATCACTGGGAAACATAAAAGGTAACTTCCAGAATTGCTTCAGAAAGTAGATATAGGGCCCAGGGAGATAGTGATAGCTCAGAGTACTGAGTTCAATCCCACATACTGAAGAAAAAAAAAAAAAGAAATAGAACAATGAGATTAAATATGTTCTAAGGAAGGAGAAGGGTTTTTTTTTTTTTTTTTGTATTTTAGGGAAGGGTCTACAGGATGCTCAGGGTCCCACTACAAGAATGGACTCTGTGATCTGCCTGTTTACAGCCTCCCAAGAGCTGGGATTACAGGTGCGCACCACCATGCCCAGTCTCAATTGCTGTTTCAGTGCGCCCCGGAGTAGGGCTGGCACAGCAGGCCCTGGGGATCAAACCCCCACCCTGCGCCTGCTTGCAAATGCTTTAATATGCTGAACTATTTGTCTGGCCCTGACAAGTAATTTTAAGGCAGATTATTAGCAATGTGTTTTATATCTTAGTAAATTTTTTTTTAAAAGTTGAACATTCTTTTTTTATTACATTATGTATTTATCCACTTCTGCCTGCCTCTTTCCACCAAATGCTGTCTACCTACTTGAATACTTAACTGCCACCATTTTTTCTTTTTTTAAATTTTATTTTATTTTATGTATTTGGTAATGGTTCTCACTATGCAGTTCAGACTCATAGTGATCCTCCTGTTTTCAGCCTCACCAGCGCCAGCTCACAGGAGTCACCATACCCAGTCTCAGTGCGGAGTGGGGGGGGGGATGGATAGCAGCAAGGCATGCAGGACTGGGGATCAAACCCTGGTCCCTACTACCACAATTAACCACCTACAAACCTCAGTGAGATCATCCAAACTAAACAAAGCTATTCAACAAGATAGCAATTACTCCACAGTGAGTGAAGATCCAGAAGGTAAACCAGGATAGGATCACTTATGGCTGAATCAATTCAATGCCATACACAAGAGAGTAAAAGTACTTAAGCATAGGCAGATATCAACACAACTCCTTAAACCTCATCAAGGAACTTAATTTCAGCTCTTTGTATGTTTCATCAGTTACTGTCTTGTTGTCCAAGTTTTGAGATCTCCCGGCAAAACAGCAGTAATGATAAATTATTACTTGCTTCAAATATATATTTAACTCAAACAAATTGAAACTCATTAGAAAAAAAATGTATCCTTTATATAAACTTAAGCAATTAACTTCAAAGGACTTAAGTTCTGGCAAAGATATTAAAAAAACCCTAAAACTTAAAAGTTCTAGGTCAATAATGTTTTGTTTTGTTTTTCTTTTTCAATTCCAGGGATTGAAGTCAGGACTCTGCACTTGCCAGGCCAAGTGCTTATTCTACTAAGCTATCTCCCCAGCCCCAGTCAATAATGTTTTACCAGCCTCAGATTCTTTCTGCAACTCCACAGAAAAGCAACAATACTTGACTGTAATATTCAAGACTAGTTTAAAACTCACATATAGCTCTTAATTGCCTGTATTTCTGTAATTCAGCGTTGTCACTACTTACTTACAATACCTTTCAGCCACCTACAGGTGGCTTGTACTGTGAATTTTCACAAAGTAGAGTTTGGCATTTAAAACATTTATTGCACCCATTTTATTTTATTGGCGGAACCAGGGATATTGCACCCATTTTAGATTCAGGGACTTAATGCCCATTACACATCATTTAAAATATTAATTTAGCTTTTCTAAAACAATTGGTCCTCTTCCCAAAGCAAACAAGCTCTTAGAAGGAAGCAAAATGGTACAGTGCTTTTTATAAAAAGCCACTGAAATATTCAATTCTCAGTCATACATATAGTTGGCAAGAATCAGATTTCAATTTTCTGCTCACAAACATGTTTGTTTCTCCGTGTTACCTACTGCCTGCCAATAATGCAGTTACCCTTCTCAATGGAGAAAGTGTCAGAGCAGTGGACCCTCCCTGTGACAAGGCAACAACAAAAGGCATTCTTGACAGAAAATATCTTGAGTCTGATTTTTAATTACAAAACACTTTATGTTCTTACATTCCACAGTACTGAACATTCCAGGATTACAGGTCCAACACCACACTGATAAAATTACTTTAAATGAAGACAATCATTTCACACTTTCTTGAAATAATTTACAATTAAGATGTGCTTAGTCATAGCCAAATTCAGTTATTAAGTTACTCTTAAGGGAGCCAAGATCTTATTAAATAACATAGAAGCAATCGGTTAATCTGTAATCCGATGCACTTTGTAATCCTACACCTAACACTCAAAGAGCACTTTCACTGCTGCTTTGGAAGTACACAATTTTTAAGGTATAATGGATGAGATTTTGATTTGATGTGCTATCAAATCCATTTTTTCAATTCTTCTGTGCGTTCTTGAAAAGTGCCCCTCCATGACTGGCATAAAAATGACCCTATCACATTGGGAGGAAAAAATTAAAACCCATATAAGTGACCCGAAGTTCTGACACCACTTTTCAAGCTACAGGAGATAGCATTGTCTTATGACACATAAACGTTCTATTGTGTCATTGATTTTAAAAAAGGAAAAAAAGGTCCCCTAGACATGAAATTTTTTTTTTAAAGTTTTCAATGGAAAGTGAGCTAAGAAAGAAGGTGAAAAGGTTCCATCACTTAAAAAGTCGGATACCTCAACCCTTACAATTAAGGCTCCTAAAAGTCACAACCACCAGGGCGACGGTACCTGTTACTACAGTAAATATTTCAGTGGCTCCGGGCCGTGGCAAAATAATGCAGACAAATACCAAGCCAGACCAGGCAGTTATCTGCAAAATCTCGCCGGCAGCACAGGTAGGAGGGGAGGGGAGTGACGCCAGACAAGGGCGAGAAAAAAGGCGCCGAGAATTCAAAGGACTACCTACCCCTATCACGCTCCCTCGCAACAGAAAGCGGGCACCGACACGCCCACGCTTCCCAAGCCGCGGACCGACCC